AGCCAGGGCCCTCCTGCTCCCCAGAGGCCATGAGTAAGAGGCAGACAGTGGAGAACTGTCCAAGGACATGAGAACATGAGCCCTTGAAGATGTTCACACATGAGCCCTTGAAGGTGTTCATAGACGTCTGCCTCAAGGAAAGTACCCTGGATGAGTGCCTGAGCTACCTCTGTGGCTGGATTCACTACAAAAGAGGTTTAGTACACCTGTGTTGTAGTAAGGTGTAGAATTACTCAATGCCCTCTTCAAATTTCAGAAATTTATTGGAAATGGTATACCCAGACAGTATCCAGGAGGTGGAAGTCCAGAGAAAGTGCTCACTGAATAGAACAGGAAAGTTTGCCCCTTACCTGAGCCAGATGAGCAATCTTCACAAACTCTTGGTAGCCTTCGGTTATGATCATGAGTTATCCACATGCGTCCAACAGCAGTTCATTCCTGACTTGGAAACTCCATTCCTCAGCCTGGGCTGCCCTGAGATGCTTTTTATAAGAAAGTTCAATCATATCAAAGAGCAGCTGGACCACCTGCACAGGTTTGTCAAAGATCTGATGGATAAAGATCTGGAAACCATCATTCACAGCAAACTGACACAAGAACAGAAAACCAAACACCACATGTTCTCACTCATAAGTGGATGCTGAGCAATAAGAACACATGGACACAGGGAGGGGAACATCACACACCAGTGTCTGTCAGGGGGTGGGGGTTTGGGGAACGCATAGCGGGGGGTTGGGGGATAGGGGAGGAATAGCATTAGGAGAAATACCTAATGTAGATGAGGGGTTGATGGATGCAGCAAACCACCATGGCACGTGTAAACCTATGTAACAAACCTGCACGTTCTGCACATGTAGCCCAGAACTTAAAAGTATTTAAAAAAATTATAGTTAAAGAAAAAGCAGAGCCTTAAATGCCCTTGTCCTATTGCCCTTCCAACCCTGGGTGACACCACTCTCTGCTTCATCTACTCATCCTCTGAGCTCTGCTGGAGAAAAATTAAACAATCAAGTAGACAGAATCTGATACGGTTTTACGGTCATCAACCTCAAATGGGCTCTCAGCCCCGAATGACAACTACAGAACTATGTTTTTCTAGTTATGGTACTTTCTTATTCTCCACATCTCTGTGGCATAGATAAAAATCTTCTCTGTTCTTCTCAAACTTTTTGATTCTGCCACCTCCTATCCTGCCAAATCATTCAGCAGGCAAGCTGAGGCAATCAGACTTCTGTTTTCAGAAGAAAAGCAAAAGCCATTAGAACGACTCCCTCAAATTCCTGCCACCAGAACAATAACACAAACCTACCTATATATGAATCTTCTTGTCTTTCTTTCTTGTTTCAGAGGAACAAGTGGCCTATCTCTTATGCCTTCTCAAGTACCTTACTCCGTTAATGTTTATTCTCTTTCCTGTATCTTCAAACTGCCTCTCTCTGCGGGCTCCTTCCCATTAGCCTTTCAACATCTCCCCTCCTACAGTCTTCTCCCTTTTCTGCTCCTCTTCTTTTCTTCATCTCTCTTTCATTTCACAACCCACCACATTCTGATTACCGGTCTCAACAAGACTTCTCTTGTCAAATTCACGCCTGACCTCCATGTTGTTAAATCAAACTGACATCTTTCAGCTTTTCTCCTGCTTGTCCCTTAGACAGTATGTGGTTCTGTTGATAATTCTCTCCTCACCTTCCACGTTGGTAACAGGGTTTTTATGTTCTACCTAGCCCATATCTCTACAGATTGAATTTTCCTTTGTAATACAATTTGTAATGATATATCGGTACACTTATTTAGTCAGTACCACGAGGTAAAAAGACCACATCCTGCCAAAGTAAGTCTCCTTCCCACTCTTGTGCCCCAGTCCCCCAGTTTCCTTACCCAGAGGTCACGTGCCACAAGCACTGTGTAAGTCCAGAGCTGCACAGTAACATCTTTCCCACTATAGAAAGGCTGCTTGCTGAAGAGCAAAGGCTGCACAGAAGAAACAGAGCTGAGAGATTGGGAGAGGTAGGTTCCTGATGACATTGCTTGAATATATTGAACTAATTGAAGCCTACTCAATTTCTAATAATGAGGAAGAATAAATTCCCTTGTTTTGCAAAACTGGCTTAAATTGTTTTTTTTTGTTTTTTTTTTTTTTTTGTAATTTGCAGCTGAAATGGTCCTTCCTAATGCTAAGAAGATACATTTTAGAGGTTTCTAAGACACAAAACTGACAAGGCTTCATTATCAGTTGGATGTGAAAGTCAAGTTTTCCAGGTGGAGATTTAGGCTATGAGAGGGTTGAATAGCATCCTAGGTCCAAGCCTGGTAAGAAGTTTACATTTTGCAAACTTGCCATATGTTCCATATGTGTTAGGGTGAAGATCAGAAACTAAGAATCCAAAAGCTAGTAATTTATGTAGGTGGTCCAGACTAAGAATCTAGGAATCAGACACTAGGGAGTCCACAGAATCTTGATCTTGAGTAATTCTTAGAATGGGAAACACATCAGTTTAGCTAAGGGAATCTGAAACAGCAGTTGCCATGAAAAAGTCAACGATCTAGAAACAAAGAGATCCAAGTTAAACTGGATAGGTCTAGCGGCAACATATCTTGATAATCAAGGCAGGTAAACAACATATGAAATAGAAAAAAGGGAAAGAAAATGGGCTAGGTGGAAGGAAATGATATTAACAACCAAAGCCCTAAAAGAACCAAAAGGAACAAGGACAGTTTATTCTTTGGCTTATTTTGCAGTTACTACTGAAGGAAAATAGCTCTGGGGACAAATGACTGCATTGAAAGTCACTGTCACTGGTGCTAGGTGATGTGAAAGCAATCTCATTAAGGCAAAGGTAGGGGTCAGAAAATTAGATACATTGGGGTGTTCTTAATTTATTAAAAGAATAGAAAGCATAGAAAGATCAAGGGAAATTACAACCAAAAAGATCATTCATATTTTGGACAATAAAGATAAAAGCAAGAAGACATTGATGTTCAAATGACTATGGGCAAAAGCCCACAGTCCAGCTAACACTGATGTTTTCTTTTAGATGTGACAAAGAGAGAATCGAGTTAAAATACTGGCCTTGAGGATCTAACAAATTATGCTTAACCTGCATGTGTTTTTAAGTTAAAAGTGGGCACTTCTGATTGTACAATAATTCATTGCACAGTTTGGACAATGCTTCTCTACACCCTGTGTGAAGCATGAATTACTGGTTCAGTTTGGGCTCTGTGCTAATTCAAGCATCCTCTCCTATCTGTACACCAATCAGGATGGAACTGGAAGACTTTATCTAAAATTAAGAAAAGCTGCCTGGATGTGGTGGCATACGCCTGTAATCTCAACACTTTCAGAGATCACAGCAGGAGGATAACTTGAAGCCAGAAGTTCAAGACAACCTAGGCAACATAGTGAGACACTGTCTACACACCAAAAAAATCGTAATTAGCCAGCCATGGTGGTGTACACCTCTGGTCCAAGCTACTCAGGATGCTGAGGCAGGAATATCACTTGAGGCCAGAAGGTCGAGGCTGCAGTGAGCCATGATCCCATCACTGTATTCCAGCCTGGGTGACAGAGAGAGATGCTGTCTCAACAACAAAAAAAAAGAAAGAAAGAAAGAAAGAAAAGAAAAGCCACCTGTACTATCTACATCTCTGAGTTTCCCAATACTTGCTAGTCATTCATAAGTTGAAGCCCATATTAAACTTCTCAATTAGAAAATACATTTGATGAGACTTTGGGGATATAATTTAGTGGAAGAGATGCTAGGTATAAGGTTCCTAAAAATACCTTGGGAGCCAGAATGAGACTGCTTATACCCCTCAGACACTCTCATCCTCTTCTCTGAACCCATACAAATAAATATTAAAACAAGCAGAAATAACATGGACCATCCAAAGAACTAGTGTATTCCTACTTGTTTTTACTGAGTTATAGTTATTCCTACTTGTTTTAACGAATAGTAAGAGTTGAAAAAGTAAGTAGAGATTAACATGCTCTGTATTGAAACCAAAGTATTCAAACCAAAAAAAAAAAAAAAAAAAAAAAACACAAAAAAATATAAAGGTGCATCACAAAAACTCATTTTCCTTTCATGGAGATCAGAGACAGCCCTAGAGACTTCTACTTCCAGGAAACTAGAGTAGATGTAATTAATCCCATTCCTCCCACTAACTACAATTGAAAACTTCAAACATTGTATCTAAAACAAACAAGATGACTCTAAAAGGTATAAAAAGAAAAGACAGACCAGGTTCTTCGGACCTGAGGAACAACCTGATGGTGAATTTCTTGGGTTTTCCTTTGTGCCTCATATCCCAGACTTGCAGCTGAAGAAACTGGCAACTCACAATTGCCAATGGGTACAGATAAGTCCCAAAAAACCCTTCCCTCCCTTGCCAAAGGACCAGCAAAAACGCAGCCTAGCAAGACAGACAACTTCTAAACAATAACCACTCTACTTCAACCAAACACCACAGAAAAAGCTATAACCCCATCCCAACCCATGCTAGTAAAAGCCTGGGCTTCCATTCTCAAGAAAATGTAACAGGCCAGGCACGGTGGTTCATGCCTGTAATCCCAGCACTTTGAGAGGCTAAGGAGGGCAGATCACTTGAACCCAGGAGTTCAAGACCAGCCTGGCAACATGGTAAAACCTCATCTCTGCAAAAAATATACATATAAAAAATTAGTTGGATGTGGTGGCACATGCTTACAGTACCAGCTACTAGGGAGGCTAAGTGAGAGGATCACCTGAACCTGGGAATTTGAGGCTGAGTGAGCCATGAGCACGCCACTGCATTCCAGCCTGGGTGACACAGCAAGACTGTCTCAAAAAAGAAAAGAAAAGAAAATGTAACAAAGCACCTCAGTACTCCAATAGGGGCGGAATGACAGGAGGCCTAGTGGAGTGTCAGGTCTTCCACCATTGCCCAGCACTAATGAGGCCGCTCCTATCATGGCATAGTGCAGACCACGTAAGAAGCCAGAACTCCCACCATTGCCCAGCAGTAATGAAGAGTTCCTCTCACACAAGTGTCAACAAATGCCAAGTGGGAAACTTGGACTTCCACCTCCACTTGGCAGTAATAATGCAGTGTCCCCCAGTTTCCCTGCCAGAGCAGTGTTAGTAAAAATAATAATAAATCAGCTAAAATAAAAGGTTTTAATAAGATCCAGAGTGTCATAACACAATATGAAAATGTCCAGGTTTCAAGGCCGGGCGTGGTGGCTCAAGCCTGTAATCCCAGCACTTTGGGAGGCCGAGGCGGGTGGATCACGAGGTCAAGAGATCGAGACCATCCTGGTCAACATGGTGAAACCCCGTCTCTACTAAAAATACAAAACATTAGCTGGGCATGGTGGTGCATGCCTGTAATCCCAGCTACTCAGGAGGCTGAGGCAGGAGAATTGCCTGAACCCAGGAGGCGGAGGTTGCGGTGAGCCGAGATTGCGCCATTGCACTCCAGCCTGGGTAACATGAGTGAAACTCCGTCTCAAAAAAAAAATAAAAAAAGAAAATGTCCAGGTTTCAACAGAAAATCACTCATTATATCAATAACCAGGAAAAGCTGAGACTTAATGAGAAAAGATAGCCAATAGATGCCTACATTGAGATACAGAGATGTTAGAATCATCTGACAAAGATTAAAGCAGCCATGATAAAAATGCTTCACTGACCAATTAAAAACACACTTGAAACAAATTAAAAAATAGACAACCTCAACAAAAAAACTGATGTTATAAAGAATCAAATGGAATTTTTATTTTATTTTATTTTATTTTTTGAGATGGAGTCTTGCTCTGTTGCCCAGGCTGGAGTGCAGTGGTGTGATCTCGGCTCACTGCAACCTCCCAGGTTCAAGCAATTCTCCTACCTCAAACTCCTTAGTAGCTGGGATTACAGGCGTGTACCACCACACCCGGCTAATTTTTGTGTTTTTAGTAGAGACAGGGGTTTCACCACATTGTCCAGGCTGGTCTCGAACTCTTGACCTCAAGTGACCCGCCCGCCTCTGCCTCTGAAAGTGCTGGGATTACAGGCATGAGCCACTACTCCCAGCCTCAAATAGAAATTTCAGAACTGAAAAACAACCAAAACAAAAAGCTTAGTAGATTGGGTCCTATTTTGTAATCCATTCTGCCAATCTCTATCTTTTAATTGGTGTATTTCAAAGATTTATATTTTACACAATTATTTATATGTTAGGACTTAAGTCTGCCATTTTATTTTCGTTTTCTGATTGTTCTCTTTGTTCTTTTCCTGTTTTTTTTCCCTGATTTCCTATGTGTTACTTGCACCTTTTTTAGAATTCCATTTTAATTTATCTATAATATTTGAAGTGTACCTCTTTGTATAGATTTTTTTTTACTGGTTGCTTGAGTACTACATTATATATACATAACATATCCAATATACTGGTGTTGAAGAAAAATCTTACCTCCCTTATGTCCCCTTGCTCTCTCCCATTTATAATATAATTGTCTTAGATGTCTTCTCTATATACATTTAGAACCACATTTGACAGTGTTAAAATTATTACTTCAACCATCAAGCATAATTTTAAAAACCAAGAGGAGAAGGAAAGGCTTTTATTTCCCCATATTTTTTCTTCCATGCTCTGTCTTCCTTCCTGATATTCCAATGTCCTTCTTTTGTCATTTTCTTTCTATTTAGAGAACTTTCTTTAGCCTTTCTTTTAGGGTAAGTCTGAGGGCAACAAATAGCTTTCCTTCATCTCAGAATATCTTCATTTCCCCTTCACTCTTGACAAATATTTTCACTGGATGGTAGTATCCTAGATTGACAGTAATTTTATTTCAGCCCTTGAAAAGTATTGTGATACTTTCTTCTGGCCTCCATGGCTTCTAACGAGAAATTTGCTGTTACTCTAATTGTTTTCCCTTACCCCAATAAGTAAGTTATCATTTTTTCTCTGAATGCTTTCAAGACTTTTTATTTGTCTTCAGCTTTCAGAAGTTTAATTATAATGTATCTTGGCATGGATTTCTTTGGATCCAACCTGTCTGGATACCAGCTTCTTGCATTTGTAGGTTTAGGTCTCTTGCCAATTTGGTGGGTGTTTTTGGCCGTTATTTCTTTCAGTACTTGTTCAGCCCAGCCTCTTTTCTTTTCTCCTTCTGTGACTCTCTTAAGAGGATGAAAGACAACCTACAGAGTCGTAGAAAGTATTTGCAAACCACGTATATGACAAGGGACAAGTTAATAACTAGAATATACAAAGAAATCTCAAAATTCAACAGTAAAGAAAAAAGCAATTTGATTAGCAAATGGGCAAAACACATGAAGAGACATTTTACAGATCTTAAATAAATGAAATTATTTTTCAAAATCATCAGTCATTAGGGAAATGTAAATTAAAATCAAAATTAAATATTACTACATGTCTATCTGAATTGCTAAAATAACAATAGAAACAACATCAAGTAGCATTATGGAGAAACTGATTACAGATACATTGCTGGTGAGAATGTAAAACAGTATAGACACTGAAATACCATTTGGCAATTTCTTAAAAACCTAAACATGCAACCACCATACAACCCAGAAACTGCACTCCTGGGCATTTGTCACAAAGAAATGATGATTTATATTCACACAAAAACCTGTACATGAATAGCATAGCAGCTTTCTTCACAATAACCAATGAGAGAATTTTTTTTAACTGTGTTACATTTATATGAGGTGTGTCCAGTCTTTTTGTCTCCTTGGGCCACATTGGAAGAAGAAGAATTTTCTTGGGCCATACATAAAACACACTAACACTAACAACAGCTGATGAGGTTTTTTTAAATTGCAAAAAAAAAAAAAAAATCTCATAATGTTTTAAGAAAGTTTACAAATTTGTGTTAGGCCTCATTCAAAGCCTTCTAGGGCCACATGTAGCCTGCAGGCCACCTGTTGGATAAGCTTGATCTATACCATAAAATATTGTTCAGCAATTAAAAAAGAAACACGTTACTAATATACACAATAACCTGGATGAATGTCCAGAGAATTATGCTGAGTTTTAAAACCCAATCTCAAAAAGTTATACACTGTATAAGTCCATTTATATAACATTCTTGGCTGGGCATGGTGACTCACGCCTGTAACCCCAGCACTTTGGGAGGCTGAGGTGGATGGATCACCTGAGGCTGGGAGTTCAAGACCAACCTATGGCAAAACCCTATCTCTGCTAAAAATACAAAAATTAGCCAAGCATGGTGGCAGGTGCCTATAATCCCAGCTACTCAGGAGGCTGGGGAAGGGAATCGCCTGAACCAGGGAGGCAGAGGTTGCAGTGAGCTGACATCACACCACTGCACTCCAGCATGGGTGACAGAGCAGGAGTCTGTCTCAAAAAAAAATGTATATATATATATACATTTACATATACATATATGTATAATGTTATATATGTGTGTGTGTGTATATAGATAGATAGATAGATAGATATAACATTCTTAAAATGACAAAATTATAGAAACTGATAACAGATTAGTGGATGAAATACCGTCTCACACCAGTTAGAATGGCAATCATCAGGCCAGGTGCGGTGATCCATGCCTGTAATTCCAGCACTTTGGGAGGCCAAGGCAGACAGATCACCTGAGGTCAGGAGTTCAAGACCAATTTGGCCAACATGGCAAAAACCCAGCTCTACCAAAAATACAAAAAGTTAGCCAAGTGTGGTGGTGCATGCCTGTAATCCCAGCTACTCAGGAGGCTGAGGCCTGAAAATCACTTGAGCCTGGGGGGTGGAGATTGCAGAAAGCCGAGCCCATGCCACTGCATTCTAGCATGGGAAACAGAGTAAGACTCTGTCTCAAAAAAAAAAAAAAAAAAAAAAAAAAAAAAAAAAAAAAAAAAAAAAAATTTAAATGAAGTCTAAGAATACTGATTCGAGTGAATGCTACTCTTAATATTATTGCTATTTATCCCTTCAGATGCAGCATTTTTTGAATTTGAATACCCCTGAAATTTTTATTCTATTATTCTTTTTTTCTTCTAGTAAGAAGGCTAACCATTTTAAGAAAAATTTATACCAGTTCTTCATAGTGTTACAATTGACATAATAGAAAAACGTCATGTTTCCTAACATCCTTTCTGAAAAGCACAGTGAGTTTTTAATGAAACTTCTTGGAAAGCCTTGAAAATCCTAACGCTCTTTCTTCCATAGTTCTCCTTATAGCTATTAATACACACTTAAACCACAGAATGTTCAACATTAAATCTTCCGTTACAGTGATCAGATTGACCATCACATTTCAAAAACTCAAAAAAGATGACAGTGAACAAAATATTGAATAACTTTCTCAGCTAACGTGTGTATTTATCACATCAGCTTTACTGTTTCTCTCAGATCATTCATAGTAGTTGGCTGTAGTAGTTGTTGCAATATGCACATTTGTTGCTCAGAATTCTTGTTTTTCACTCTGAGATTTTCTATTTGATCATGGTAGATGCCAGCCTCCAAGATGATCCCCAGTGGTTTTCACCTTTTGGTATTTACATTCTTGTGTAGTACCTCGCACATCGAATAGGACGGATCTGCCTAGCCAATAGGATATTACACAGATGAAGTGTGACTGCTAAGGCCAGGTCATAAAAAATATAATCACTTATATGCTAGTATTTCTTGGATCACTCACTCTGCAGAAAGCTGGCTGCTGTGTCATGCAGACACTCACACAGTCCTGTGGAAAGGTCCACATGGTGAAAAACTGAGGTCTTCTGCCAAGAGATCAACTTGCCAGTGTCATGAGTGGCTGATTGCGGAAGCGGATCCTCTAGGCTAAGTCGAGTCTCCAGATGACTGCAGCCCAGTTACCACCTTGATTGCGTGAGAGACTGTAAGTCAGAACCGTTATGATTAAACTGCTTTAGAATTCCTGACTTACAGAAAATGTGTGAGAAAATATGTACTCATTTCTACTTTAAGAAGCTAAATTTGGGGGTGGTTTGTTACTCGTTGATAGAGACGTAGGGAGCTGCTACACCAAAAACCTAAAATGTGGGAGTGGTTTTCGAACTAGGTAACGGGTAGAAGCCAGGACTGTCAGGAGAGTTGTGGTGAAACCTGAAATGTTTTGAAAGTTTGTATTTGCCCGATGACTTCTGAAAAAGCTAAGGGTAAAGAATTAAAGAAAAGTGAGGAAAACATTATTAGAAATTGGAGAGAGGGGGATTCTGGTTATATAGTGGCAGAAAGTTGAGTAACATTGTCGTGGTAATGTAAAAATTAGAAAACTGACTGGGCATGGTGTCTCGTACCTATAATCCCAGCATTTTTAGAGGCTGAGGTGGGAGTATCATTTGAGGCCAGAAATTTGAGACTAGCCTGGGCAAGACAGTGAGGATTCAGGTTCAAGATGCCTAACTAGAGACATTGGACACTCACCCTCTCCCCCATCTTAAAATAGAAGTCCGCTATTGAGGCAAGACAGAAGGCTGCTTATCTGTGGTGGTGAGTGGCAACCATGCCCCAACTGGCAATGTGGCTCCATGCCCAGGCTTATGTGCACAGGGCAAGATCCTTGCCCAATTCTATGTGGTGCTGTGGTGCTGTGGTGCTGCTGCCACCAAGAGCAGGCAAGCCTGAGAGCTACATGTCTGGGGTTGTGGATGGTGACCTCATATCACAGCCACTGCCAACACCAGTGCACAGCACTCAGACCCAGAGAATCATCCTGCCACTCTTACTGCCGGTACCCACACCCCG